CGAAAGCCAGAGGAAACCAAAGCAAAGCCCGGCCGTGACTGATTCTCCTTCCAAATGGCGTAAGCAGGCCAACTTCAAACATGTGAATAATGAGTTATCTGTGCTTGACTTTGTTCGGCACCAGAAGAGACGGTTCCTTCTAACATTTCCCCCCTTGCTCCCTCCTGTGAACTCCAGGGCTTCGGCTTCTAGAAGCGGGCTGAAGCAGGGTTGGCACTCTCCAGGCTGCTGCCGCTCACCGGGGCTCGGAGGGCATCTCCGTCATCCTCCGTGGAGACGTCATGTGTGAGTCCCTCCCAGCTCCTGGCACTGCGGGCAGCCTGGTTCCCATCTCCACACCATCCTCCCCCCCCACTCCTTCGCTGGCCGTGGGGCTCCACCAAATTCTTCTTGGCCGGGAACTTCCCGTGGTGAGTCTAGAGCAGGAGGTGGGATTCCAGGGAAAACCTGAGGGGTGTTCATGCCTTGTGTTATAGGTGTGCGAAGATGAAACCACCCCAACACGTGCAGTGAGGGACAGGCCTGCTGTTCCCATAACACAGGCGTTTCACATGTGGCTTCTTTCTGGAGCACATGCTGGGACTTGATAGTCTAGTCGAGACTCAGACTGGGAAAAAATTCAACCCTCTGTAGAGGATTGGCGTGTCTCTCTGAAGTACCTATTTTGAGGGCTATAAGAGGGATTTGAAAGGTGTTTTGCACATTGAGACGGAGTTTTATCCACTGCTGATTGCTTTCTTGTGGTCCATTCTCACGGACATGTAGAGACTAAGCCACGGGGTTGTGTGCAGGGACTGCTCCTGGTGAGCTCCTGCTTGGCTGAGCCCTGGAGTTTGACTGTGAATATTTGAGCAGAGCCTTGGGTGGAGGATGGTGGGATCATGCTGGTGGGATGTTTGGAGCCTTGCTTTGGAGGTGGATGAGTGGGGGCTTCTGTGGCTGCTGATGGCTCGAGCTGATGTCCCAGCCCATGTTGCCATCTCCTGGTTCTTGTCTCTTCCTCACTGGAGCTAAGGAAATGATCTGCAAATGTGTGTGTTAATGAACATCCCCCAGAGCTGAAAAGCTCTGTGTTTCCTTCTCTCCATCTTGCCGCCAGCATTTCGCAGCAAGACTCCTGGGGAGGGCCAAGCCACTTCCCACCATCTGCTCTCCCATCCTTTGGTAGTAAAGGGCTGTGCCAGGGGATGGGGACAAATGTGACACCCAAATCTGAACCCACCAGGGGTGGAGAGGAGGATGTGCAGCTCCTTGTGTCTCATGACTGAACAGCTAACCACAGATAAATCAGGGTACCGTGACCCTCAGGCACCCTGGAGAGTGTTTTTTCAAATCAAATTTCTCTCTAAGATTTTGGCACCACTCAGGTTCCTGAAGCCCCTTTCTACCTTTGATCAACTTTATATTCTGCATCTCAGTAATCTGGGGAAATAAGGTGCTTTTGGTGAACTGTGGAACTCCCTCCTGCACTGCCTGGAAACCCCATCCAGGTCCCAGCCTGGGAAGCCACATCAGGTTGCACACTCCTAGAAGGAAGAGCAGGGTCTGTTTGGTCTTTGTAATGTTTTAATGCAGAAGGCATGTCTTTAAATCATAGCTTTGAGCGCCTGGGCTGCAGTGTGGCACACACTGTTTCGCTGTCTGCATTCCAAGGAAACACCCAAAACTTCCAGTGTGCTTCTTATTACTGGCCTAAAGTGTCAAATTCACGTCGGCTCTTCCAGCTGGGAAGTGTTCAATGGGATCGTTTGTTTGATATGCTGATACAGATCTTGTTATTACATCAGGATCATAGGTGATCTGTCAATGTTTACATCATGTCATGTTCAATATCGGAGTTAACTGATTCAGAAACCCGATCCAGCGTTAAAACCCTTGTGCTGTTGACAAGAAGTGCCCGAGGTCAGTAGCTGCCATCATTTGATCGTTCTAAGCTCTGTTGTTTCCATAAATATTGACCTGCAAGCCAGTGCTAGCCCAGCTGGAAGTGCAGGGCTAAGTCTCCAACCCCAAACGGCAGGTTCCGTGCCCCAAAATTCACGGGTCGGGGTGATGAAGACTTCTCAGGCAGATTTCTTGGGATGAGGTCTGGAGCTGTTTGAAGCTGAGTGAAAACCCGCCCACTGGCTTCGGGAGGCTTTGAGTCAGTCCTTGGGTTAAGCTAGAAACCACCTTCCTCTTCTCTAAGGTATGAGCTATTGTTCACTTGACGGCACTGGTTTCCTCTCCGTGACAGCTGTGGGCAGATGGGGAAGGGCTTTTAATGGAGCCAACCGCTGCAGAAATTAAAAAGCTCAGGTTGTTCTGATGAAAGAAACCCATTAATAGCGATTCCCTCTTGCGTGACAAAGTCTGACGTCCCCAGCTCTAAAGTGACAAGCGGCAGGAAGTCCTGGGGAGAAAGCCTGAGCTAAAGAGGGTTGGCAGTCCAAGCTGGTGGTTTTTAACTCGTTCAATGCCTTGTTTCATGGGGTTTGGTGCTGCCACGTCCCACACGTGGAGACAGGGCAGGATACAGACCAGAGAGGGCCTAGGAGAGCTGGGAATGGTCCTGATCCCACCACAGCATCCTCTGGTGAGGGCTCATCCTAAGCGAGCCCCTGTGTTTGCCTCGACTTACACTGGCATCAAGTTTTCCACTTTCATTTTTTAGGATAGGTTTAAGGTTTTGGGGGTTTCGCTGGTAATTGCTGGGTCTCCCCACAAACCAGCCCCTCCTCGAGGGTGTAAGTACAGTGCTGCTGTTTACTCGAGGCTTAAAACCCCCACGGGGCTGTGTCCATGTTCAGACCATGTGGGGACCAAAGAAACCCCAGTGCAACATGACACAGCCACATGAAGCCCTCAGTCAAGCTGTACGGCTGAATAATCTTTAAAAACATTATCAGCACGGAGATCACTTGATATATTTTTCAGGATTTTCTCCGTCACATGCCAGATACCACCGCAGGATAGGGTTTGTGCTGAGATAGAGGCAGGGAATTTGATTTCCATTAGATTTCTGGGGAACTTGAAGTCCTTTTGGCTCCTCTGCCACGCTCTGCCCAAGGAAAGCAGTTAAAGGTGAAACATAACCCTACTTTTCTTTTTCTGTGCTTAAATGTATACTGAAGTAATACAATGTGGACCAAAACAGGACACCTCACTGCACACGCTTTTCCCCTGGGGAAAGCACAAATGCCACGTGACAGATGCTGCTCATGGCTCCAAAGGCCTCGGATAATGCAGAGGTGCCTGAGGTCTGGGGACACACAGAGATTAGAAGTGATCATTTACAGTGTTGCTGTGAGGTTTCCTTGGTTTATTTCACATAGCAGGGAAAAGACATTTTCAAAACACTGCTGGGTTTTGCTTTCTGCTGGGGTTTGTCCTCAGCAAGTTTTGCTCTCTGTCATCAGCCCGTTTTCCATCAGTTTGGACTTTTACACACCCGGAAGCCTGGGGATTATGGAGTTTGGAGGGGATGGTGGGGCTCACCTGGATGTGGAGCTCACAGAGGAGGGTCAAAGGCCTTCAGAAACTGTGGCAAGGGGTGGTTTGCTGTTGGGACATCCATGGAGCAATGCCATGGCAGGCAGCTCAGCTGGGAGTGTGAGAACCCCTCTGGAGATCAGGAGATGCAAGACACTATTAAAGAGGGGGAAGTCCGGGGACTTTCTGTGACTTTGCTACAAACTGACGATGGGGCTCAGGCCACGCAGATGTGAGGGGGGAGGGAAGGAGGGTGTGAGCAAGAGGTGGCTGCGTTTATCACCTCTGAAACTCGTCACTTCTTAAAAGCCACCAAGAACTGAGCCACTGACTCAGTGGATGTTGGTCCCTAGGATCTGATAAGGCCCAGCTCTCTGAAGCACTGCAGGAGGTTTCTTCCCAGCTCCTCTCCCATCTCCCCAGCGTGCCCGCACACCTCCAGTGCCCCCGAGCCCTGCGCTCGGATTACGCCGGGATGAGGCGGCTGCCACCTCGGGAAGGTCCTTTCATGGCAGGTGCAAAGAGCTGGGGGTGTTGCAGGGCTGTCTGGCTGCGGCAGGTAAAGAGCAAGGAGAATCCAAGGTCTGAACCCCGGCACTGATGTAAAACCGAGGCAGCTCCAGCTTCCCTGGAGCCCCTCCAGCTTTGTGCGGGTGTAACTGAGACTGGAATCGGGCCCAGAGAGAGTGAAGCCGTTTGGTGATGATTAATATAGTAAAATGCGAAAGTTATGTATCAAGTGTATTTCATGCGCCTCTTGCCTCGGGACAATTAGCATAAATTTAATAATTATTGCCCTGTGCCAGCAGCTGCTACCTAAGGAGCTGGGAGTGCTTTACAAACGCTCATTAGCTGCTGCCCTGCCTGGGGGAGGTGGGTGATTAGTCTCCCCGTTTTATGGGTAGGAAAAGAGGAACAGAAAGAAGCAAAGTGAGGTGGCCAAGGTGTGGTGCCACGGCTGCTCCCATCCCTCCTCCTGTGCCTTCTCCAGCTCTACTTGGCTCTGACCCCAACGGGTGAGCAGAGCTGGGAGGGGAAGTAGATGAGAGTTTATTCTTTGTGCGCTGAGCAAATGCTGCAGAAAATACTTAAAATTCAGTGTTTCCCTTGCTGGTTCCCCATTCACCCCTTTACCAGGAGATGGGTTTTTTCCTGCCCTGCACGTGTCTCCCCTCTGTGTTCAGAGAGAGTGAGGGCTGGTGGAGGCTGGTCACTCAGGCACGGCACAGGGCATCCTGATCCAGGCTCCTTGATCAAAGGCTGACTTGCTGGATGATTTGCGGGATGATTCAGGGGTCAGTCCGTGTCCCATCTTTGGTGGGCTTCATTTTCCTGAACCATGAGGTCTTCCCCTGTGTGTGTGCTGTGCAGCCCCCCGGTAGCCGATTTCTGCCGGGGCTGCCCCCCGTTACCCCCGTGTGAACATCAGCAAACCGCGGAGACAGAGGCTGCGCTGACTCTGTGTGTAACCAAGGTGCTGCAGCCAAAGGGGAACTGATCAGATATCAGACTCTTTTATCATGTTCCAGGGCACAGACAAAAGCTAGAAGACCAAGCCAAACCCTTCACCGACCGCTACGGGGAGCTGGAACGGCTGCGCCAGTCCATGAGAGTCACCCCGACAACACCCAACCCTCGTGGATCCCTCAGCACCCCGAGCCACTTCGGGTCCCAGGCTCAGACTCCAATACAAGGTAACTGGCTGGGTGCCCCAGCCCGGCGTTACACCCCAAAGCCTCACACTCCCAACACAGCTGGGCAGGGAGCGGAGCCTCCCTGGCCGAACGAGATTCCCTTTGGATGGCCTTGTAGGGCTGGAGTCCAGCTCTCCCCTGGGTAAGGAGCCGTGCGGGGGGACATGCCAGGGGGAGGTTTGCTTGGATTTCTTGGCCTTGGAAGCCTTTTTGCGCCCATGAAATCACTCTTTGCACCATCAGATCAGGGCTCTTAGGAAAAACTGAGGAGCTTCAGCAGGAATGCGAGGGAGATCAGAGCAACACGCTTTGAACCCAGCAGCTTCTTTGACATGAAGGCACCCACGTTATGGTTATGCATCAACTAGAAAGGGTGTTTTGTACTTTACATGCTAATCCAAATGGTTTCTTATCTTGTTGCATTGTGTTTATGCCAAGCCTGGTGATCACCCAACTGCAGCATAATTCCCCACACGTATGCACACCTGCATGGGCGCACGCGTGCACACACACACACAGAGGCTTTGCTCTTCCCATATTTACCATCAGCAAGGAGCGCCCCGAGTCCTTGGGCGTTCCCCGGGAACCCACACTGCTGCCAGGACAGCAGTGGGAATTGCCACTGGAGTTACACCCAAGAGAGGTCAGTCTGTTAATCCCCATACACCTGAATTTCAGCCCCCAGTTAAGCGCTGCCGTTGGAATTATCCAGCTGCCTTGCTGCTCCCGTCTTTGTGCACGTCTCAGCACAGCCAGGTGCCACCAGAATGAATTAAGAGAGACCATTCTCCTGTCTGCATGTGAGATGTGCTCCTTTTCCGTGCAATTTTAGTCTCGGTGGTGTTTTCCTTTGGAAAGCAGCAGAGATACTAACAGGGATTTCAGGAATAGTATTTAAGCTGTCTGCGTATTGAGTTTTGATGAGAAGTGGCCCTTCTTGGAAGGTTTCCTATAAAAAGTTCCAGAAGCCTCTGTGTTGCATTTTCAGAAGTGACGTAGATGTTTGAAAACCTCGGTGTCATTGGCAAAGAGGGTGTCTCGGGTGCAAAAACATGTTTGAAAACGTTACCTGAACTGTAAAAGCTGCCCCGCTCCTCCCAGCCCAAAATTGCAGTGAAAATTTAATTTATTTCTCATTGAAATGCAAATCTCCATGCTTGGAATTTTCATTGATATTAGCATGATTTATGAGAAGAACGCGGGCATTTTGTGTAGGATTATAATTTGATTTTTGTTTAAAAAAAGAGAGAGAGAGAGAGAAAGAGTTTTCTAGGCTCATCCCATCGGCTGCGTCATAAAGAAAGAGATTCTTGGGGAAGAAAAAAAGATTTGTATTTTAAATTAGCACAGCCCCATGCAGTGCCAGAAACCCAAAGAGCGTCGTTTGGAGCAAGGGATCAGGTGATGACACAAATCCAAGGAGAAAAAAAAATGAAATTGGCCACAAGCTGCCGTCCGTGCCAAATTCCCAAATGTCAAGTGACAGCAGGAGTGGAGACACACAAAATTAGCCATCTAAAATCATTCCTGCGGAGTGAATCCAAACTACCAGGAATGCTGCAAAAGGCGGTTCGTGCACGCTCTGCTCTTGGCTCCCTTGTTCCCAAGTTGAGGAACTGTCTTAAAATGACTGTGGGTTCTTACCAGCGTAGCTGGGAGCAGGATCAGCTCAGTATTTTTAATCTCAGCCCTGTCCTTTTGACACAACGCTGGCTATAACCAATCATAATCATAATTTAAAAAAAAAAAAACAAAACAACCCTCTTTCTCTCGCACACACACACACACGGCTTATTCACAGAGATCATAATTTTTACCCGAGCAAGTGGAGCCCAGCCCGTGCCAAGAATAACACAGGAGTTAACAGGCCTGTAATTCTCACGACTTGGCACGTTCTTGGGTAACACACATGAGAAGCCGATTAGTGAAAAGCATAACGAGATACCGGTTAGGAGGGACAGGCTGGAGTTCATCCGGCCCCCACTATCCTTTTTGTGGGTGCTTCCCAACCATAATGTTTTTAGCATCCCTGTGCAGGGACTGAAAGGGGGCCAGAGGAGCAGGTTTTCCCTCCACCGGTGCCCAGCAGCCCTCTGCTCGTGTGCTGGAGGTGGTTGGCCTCCCGGTTCTGCTGACCAAGCAGTTTGCACAAATGCTTCCTAATCCGCTTCTGGCAAAACCAGGCTGGGAGCTGAGATGCTCAGAAACAGCCTTGGCCGCTGAGGGGGGATTCTGGCACCTCAAATCCCTGAAATACAGCACGTGGAGCTTGGGTTTTGAGGCAGAAAGGCACGTAGGAGACAGTGTTTATCTTTGGGAGGAACTGAGGTTCTTTGGAAGTGTGTTTGCTCTGGCCTGGTCCAATCTTTCCAATCTTTCCAATCTTTCCTCCTCACGAGTGAGGGCCGTGGCCAGTGGAGATCACGGCAAGGACGCTGGTGTAAGTGGGAGAAGAGTCTGGCCCTCAGCCATTCGCAGAGGCTTTCAGTAAAGCAGCCCCTGGAGGTTATAAATAGCCCCCATGTTAAATGATCGTCCTGAGGTTAAATGGTCTCAAAACCAAAAACCTCCTGGTAAGAGAAAACTGATTGTTTCTGAAGGACATGCCAGGAAACATGGGAGGAGAGCGTGCGCAGCTCCGTGGCCAAGCAGGTCACATCCTGCTCTCGTGCTGGTTCCCCACGCCCAGCGTCAGGGTATCTCAGTGGCTTCAGCCTTGCCTTGTCCCGCTCAGATGAGCAGAGAATCCATCTCTTCCTATGCCTGTCCCCAACAGGATTGACATTTGCAACCCTCCACACACCAGATTTCATTCCCACTTGCACTGCTTTGGTGGGTAAATAGGGTAATTCCGGGTTCAGACCGGTGTGGCTGTGGTGACAGTGTGGCCCAGTAGCTGGGCAGACCCTCACCATCATCCAGCACAGCTTCAGCCGAGCAGAGCCATTTGCCTCTGCTGAGGATTTGGCCCAATGCTTCTCCAGTGAGGTCTGGAAAATCTGAGGTTTTGAAATCCCAGCCCTGCCATCTCCTCAGCGAGACACCAAGCTGTCATTAGGATGGCTCGAAATGGTTCCTTATTACGGGGCATGAGAAGCCAGAGCCTTGCGTGCTTGCTTTATTCCGAGTTTCACCTTCTAGCTTAAAAAAATCAAGTAGCTCCCAAAAGCGAAGCAAGATGTTAAAGGAACTTGCTTCTGTCTGCCTTCAGCTGCTTCTCGGGGTCCCCTTGCTCTGGGGAGGCGGGATGGTGGCAGACACACGTCCTCCAGGGGAGAAGCCCCCAGTTCTTCGCGCGGCGCTTCGCCCTTGCCCGCGTTTCGGCAGCGGTTCGTGCTGAACCATTTTATTCCCACCGCAGCAGAGCAGGACCGCCCACGCAGCCGGGCCTGTGTTCTCGCTCTGTGGTGGAAACATCTTCAATCACTCAAAAGCAATTGTGTGCATTGTCCAGCAACATGTAGGGGCCTTGCGTACACGAGGACAATTGCAAAGTGATTTTAAATTTGATCTGCTCGGTACCAGAGCGAGCTGTTTTGATTAACGCACTTAATGTCCCCTTGCTCCAGCGAAACCAAACTCCCCTGGCTTCACAGAGAGAACAGTAAACTCTGGATCCTTTTGCAAGCTCCGTCCTGCCTCTCTCAGCTTTAGTGTCTGCTCAATGGTTTTCGGGAGACACTGTGTTTGCTGGTGAAGAGCTTCAGCTCTCCTGATCTGGAAACTCCTCAACTTTAACCAGCTTCACTCCCAGTCCATTACTTAGGGCCAGTCATCAGCAGAATGCTTCACCATATGCATTTAAAGTAAAATCTCTCTCTCTCTCTTTTGCTTTTTAAATATACAGTTTTAAAGTATTACATTACTTTTAAGAAGCCTCTTGGCATAGGCAGCGAGTGCCCTATTGTTTCCGAAATGCAACGTGGCTGCTCTGAGGTTAAGTCCTGAATTATGGGCCCAGCAAATACACTGAATTGCTGCTTCCTAATCCCTGTCCAGATTGACTTATGGTTTCTTTAAAATATCCGTTTCTTAATGGATAAAAACATTCTACCATGGGCAGAGACTAAATTGTTTCCAAAGGAAGCTAGGCAAGCATTAGTGGGAAGAAAACATATTGTGGGATTCAGCTTCAGCCTCAAAGGAAGGAACATGCTCAAGATGGGTTTCCTGCCTGCTTTCAGGCTTCTGTGTCTATCTTTAAACTGCTTTTCTGCTCCTTTCATTTACGCTTGCGATGTCCCTTATATGAATTTGGTGTGTAACTGTCAAAGATGAACCACAGACCGGCGCTGGACGGGAGCTTCCCCCGAGAGAGAGCTCAGGCACCCGCGACCGCTGCGTTTGCCGCTGACGTGCAGCCGCCTCGGTCTCCCAGCCACAGCTCAGGGGGCTGAAGTGCTGCAGTTCCCACAAAATAGCAGATGAGATTACAAGGAGCCCGGCTGCATTTGCCTCAGGCTCCAGGGGTGCCATCCTGCCTCTGGCACGGGATTTTCGGATTGCTGGGATCCGCAGAGCGCAGGAGGGGAGCCCCCAGCCCAGGGTGCTGCTGCAGGAGGGCAGTGCCCACATTACAGGGATGTTGCTGCAGCGCAGCCCAGCACAAACAGGGCTGGATCTCCCTCTCCCAACACCCCTCAGCCTCTCTGTCAGTGGGTTTCCCATGGCAGACTTGGCCTGGTCTAAACCTGCTCGGCAGGCAAGGTGGTCTAGCTGCAGGCTGGGTTGTAAATTCAGCAGCTTCCTTTTATGTAGTCAGGGCTTGTTAATTTTTTTTTAATACCCTTTGAATACAGGTAAAGAGCAAAGCGCAGGCAGGCCAGAGGGAGTGGCTGCGATCACGGGAGCGTTTCCCGTTCAGCCCACCCACCCGCTCCAATTAGCACCGTTAGCTTATTCATTAGCTCTGCGGGATGGAGTGGCGGGAACCGAGCCTGATGCAGGACAGGGGGATGCGGGCAGAGGGCTCTGGGATGGTGAGAGGAACAGAGAGGCTG